AATCATTTGGTCTTCTCTTACCTGGAATAACACAACAAGATATTACAACAATTGAAGACTTTGCAATTGATGCTGAACAAAGTAAAGGAGCACTCTTCTCTAAATGGCTTCAAAAGAATCCTACAGCAACATGGAGAGATGTACTCAATGCATTGACTAAAAGAGAAGAGATCAATTTATTACAAACTATTAATGATCAGTTACAAGTACATCAATGTACAGGAGGTATGATCATGTATTTATATATTAATAATTATATTAAATGTATAATAGGTAATACTGATGCTCCTACTAGTACTGTACCAGTAGTATCTACTGTATCATCATCAGTTTCTGTAATTAATAAACCTGTTACTAGTACTACATCAGGTAAACATAACATACTCTTAATGATACAACTAAGTTGATAGTTCATATGATAGATACCAAAGGAACTGAGGACTCAACACCAGATGAAGGAAATAAACCCACTCATAATGACAGTAATAATGGCACTACAACATCAGGTATATCATTAAAAATAAACATTCGCTAGCAGATTGTATTTTAAACTATTCATGATTAATTCTGTTTGATGTTAATGATATGAATGAGGTGTCCAAATGTTATGGAGGCTGCTACATGGAAGCCATTTAACAGAATACCACAAAAATTAACCACTTGTTATAACTATGTGACCCTGACTATGTCTCCATGAATATGTTTAAAGGTGTTTTTCATTGTTTGTACTATAGTGTGTGGGTGTATCAACGGCACCACCATGAGTTTATATAGTGGAGACCACAGGAGGGGTAGTGGGCTAGGCAAATTATACTAGTAATAATTGGAACATAATGGGTCAAAGATTTCTGACCCTATACCCCTGACCACATTATTTCAATTCAATACAGCAAGTACCGTATAGTGGCTAATTTTGGAGTGGATTAAATTTGGCAAATTTGGTGTTTTGATAGCCATTCGCCAAAATAAAAATCCACCATTTTGAGCCATTATACGCATGCTCAATGGCTCGTGATCACAAATTTGTCAAATTAAAAATCTGCCAATCACCAAAATTTAGCAATTTGCCAAAATTTAGCCCCTCCAAATTTACCCGCTATACAGTACTAGGCTAGTGCAACTAGTCCTTGTGCCTATGCAAAGCTGGACGAGGCCAATGACTTAGAGTATTTTATTTTCCAGTGATTCAAAGTCTTTGGAATAACATTTCAGATTCTGGCATTATTACAATATTATTTTTATTATAATTATATTATATATACATGTTATATATAACAGATATATGCAGTAACTTGATAGTGTAAAGATATTAATAGGATAAATTCTGGGGCAGTACCTAAAAGTATAATACTAATAGGCAGAAATTGAAGCATAATTTGACTAGTCCTAGTTAGAAGTGCCTTCATACACCCACACACTCAAACCAGATAAACTACAGCTGTTTCGTGTTACTGTATATCCAGTAACCCTCAACATCTGTAGTTTATCCATAATGTAGATCATATAATAGAACCTATTGAAAGAGTTCATTCAACTGCAGATGATTGGGGATCCACTTATAATGACAAAAATGACACACATATTAAAATTTACTATCAATTATAATAATATAGGTAATACTGATGCTCCTACTAGTTCTGTACCAGTAGTATCTACTGTATCATCATCAGTTACTGTAATTACTAAACCTGTTACTAGTACTACATCAGGTAAACATACACTTAATACAACACTCATTAACTGATACACTACTGCAGGTAACACTCCTAGTGCTATATTAAGGATGAATTATGCTACTCTTGTTGATGCTATTACTAATAGTCTTCAGAAAGTAACTGATGCACTGTATGCTAAAGAACTAATACCACCACAAACTAATCAGTCAATGCTTGTACCAGCAGTTGATAATTATACTAAAGCTGCCAACCTTATGAATGTCATTGAAAAACAGTTGGATCCTCTCTTAATCCAGAGCAGTATCTTATTGATATATGTCATGTATT